AAAAAAAACAGACGTACAGTGGAAAATAAGTAGTACGATTTAAGGACGAAAAATTACTTCTTTCTTCTAAATAAAATATACACGGTATCCTTTTTACTATATTTCGTGTTCTGTTAATATAAAATCTGTGAAATTTTTCAGTCGTTTTTTGTTTGTTTAATTCTCAACGGGCACAAAGATGTATATAGCACGTTCAGCCTATTATCGGTTAGCAGAAGGTAACTAATCAAAAAAAATCGCTTTATATAAAAGAATCAAAAATTAAAAGATGGGCACAACTGAAGCTTTAAGTGCAGTCTTTACATTTTTTTCGCTCTGTTGTGAAATTGCACTATCTTATCGGTGTATTAGTTGGCTTACAATATTTTACGTATGACTCCCACGTTGGGGAGTTTGTTCAAGGAATCAGTATCGTCAGCCATCAAACGGCAGGTCCACGGACGGTTTTCAATCCATCTTGGTGGTTTCCATCCACATGCACTTCCGAACGTGTTTTTTTTTTGCCGAACACTGGAGTGCACCTGGTAACAGATTATTTGCTAAGATTGCATAATTTACCCATAGATCTGGCTAATAAAAGGCAGTCTGGATTAAGGAAATTTCAAGGGAGGTAGTACGGATTTTAGTAGTCTGTCTGAATGATAGTTAAAATTTCGATCTCTTCCCGTTACTAGGATGATTCACTGAGCTATTTGGTTCACTTTAAAAATTAGCGCAATACCAAGATAGAACAGTATTTGCCGATGGATGCTTGGGCTTAAGCTTGGTGAATGCGCGGTAAACGTCCCTATTCAGGAACCAACGCTCTTGGATGGAGCCGGCATAGGAGCACCATGAATTTTTTTCTAGGAGGCTAATGGGGAAATCTCTTATTCCTTTTTCTATTGAAGAATTTACAGGGTGTAAGTTGCATTTCACGACGTTTGCTACTTTGAATATAACGTTCATACGGCGCACAGTGCTTCCCTTCCATATAAAATGTGGGCAAAAATAGAATTATGGGCGGATTTAAATGAAAATTCGCTTCGTAGTACAATTTAAGACGCTAAATGAAGTTGAAAATTTTGAGTTCTTGTGGCATTTACATAGGTATGTACATATAGTTCGTTCTATTTTTAAAATGGAGGTGTCAAATGTAAGGGATTGGCCTGCAGATGTGCAATAAAGTTTTATTTTTTTAAAACAGAATTTTTTGAATTTTATTCAAATTATTTAATAAGGTAAAGGAATTAGATATTACAATGTGGGTATCAATAGAAATGGTTTTCAAAATCCTTTACTTCTAAGCTAAACGTAGAATGTTTAAAAAATCAAATTTGCTTTAATTAAGGAAATAAGGTAACTGAAATATGTATATCAATATCCGTATCAGTTTATTTAAGGGTGCAGTAATTTAAAAGGAATGTAATCAGAAAAAATCACTGATAGACAATGTACATATGTATTTGTAATAAAATAACAAATACGACGTCGTAAACCTTTGGTTTGACACAGTTATTATTTTAGTATAACTAAATTTTACTTTACAAACTGATGGCAACTCTCTTTGTAATATTTGCAAGCTAAAACTTTTAAAACTCTTTCGCCTAACTCCCATATGGTGATACCTATCTATTTTAATAAAATTATTCCTCTAATTCCAATAAAATTAGCTTTTCATAACAGGTGGCAACCATCTACATGTAGTTAAGAAAAAGACTTTGATTCAATTTTTTAACAGGTGGCAACTCTTTAAAAAAAACATACCTCTATTGTCTAAAGGGTTTTAATCTGACACTTAATTTTTGAAAATAGAACGAATCATGCAGATCTGATGGCACTGACAAAAAATGAAAAAATTAAAAAATGATTTTATGCATTAGCAAAAAACCCATTACTTTAAAAAGTGCAGAAAATGAGCAGTTTTTTATTTCCTCTTTCGAAAGCTAAAAACCCGTACTACTTAATAAAATAATAAAAAATAACATATTTTTATATTTATTTTTTATTCATTCCATTAAAATTTACCTTTTTTTTTAATTTTTTTACACAAAAGTGTTTTTCTGGAATACCTATGCGGACACCCTGTGTTTTTATTTTTATTCCTGTAGTTCTCTATTATCTATATGAAAATAAAAAACTTCAAACCAACATTTTATTTAAAGAATGTATTTTTTAAATTTGTTTCCGTGAAAAGTTTACGAATGGCTAAGCTCTTATTAGAGTTCTTAGTATAAAATTTGTCGACTTTAGTGGCTTTCTGGTGACATACAGATTATTTTATAGGAAACTTTCGGTTTGAGTTTTTTTAGTGGCAGAGAACACCTTGCAGACAAAGAATTTTTCGATTTTTGCCCACTTAGACAGCACTGTGCGCCACATTTTCTAATGCTGAATTTCCACTAGGCAATAAATGACAACAATTTTAATGGCAAAGTTGGGCATTGAAAACTTAGGTCATTACGTTAAAAGGCAGTCATTAAATTCATTTCCGCATGGCATTTTCTAATGCCCACAGTTTTTTGTCATTTCAATGTCTTGTGGAAATTCGGCATAAGATATTTTTATCGCTTCGAAAAATCAACTTTTGACGACAAAAATTTTATTAGAATTCTTTTAAAGATGAGTGGATATTTTTTGTACTACAAAGAGGGAAGGTACTCTCAACAAAACGATTCTCAAATTAGTTTCTGAGCAAAACTGAGCTAGAAGACAAATGTTACGTCACAAACTAAGGCGCAATGAGAAGCCAATCCTGTGGGATAGAAAAAATGTCCACAGAGCGATAGTATGGCGGCGTATTGTGAAGTGCTTCAATTCTGGAACAATACGTACTCAGATAGCCAGTCTGCTGGAAACCAAAGCTATATTTTTCATCAGCTCTACTGATCAGGGAAATAAGATTTCAAGAACAACTTTTAGTTGACGGTCCGTTCTAAATTAGAATAGAGTAGAGGGAAAATGCTTGTGTAGAACTTCAATGTCACTGTTGGCTCTAAAATGGACTATGGAAGTGGTATCAAGTAATACCAGATTACTTTTTCGGTCTCAAAATATTTTAAGTGGGAATCGAGAGGCCCTATAGGTATTGAAAAAGACTACAAATTTAAATGAACAGGAACCTATCTCTCTTTCTGGACCGAAATACATAAATAGTTTCGTTAGTATATTTCAAAGCAAAAGCGCTAAGGCTCCAAGCGATAGCCAAGCGTAAAGGGTTTCAAAGGACGCATGGCTATGTCGCATTGTCCATGTCTGTTTATCCTGCTGTCTATGTGTGTGCAAACCTTGCGCCAGTCGCCTATTTACAGCAGACGTAGTTGTCCTATAAAGTCAACTGCCCAAAGTTTGGTAGCCAAATTCGAAACAAGCGGTTGGGTAAGCAATCAGCGAATGTCCGTCCTTGGAATTATTGAAAAGAAGCGCACGGTAGTTAACTCCTTGACGTGCACTAAAATTCAGCTAACCCAGGAGCTCAAAGTATATGAAAATAGGCAACGACGTTTGTTCATTAACTGGTATTTAGAGCGTAAGGAAAATTACTCAAATTTGGGTTGTAAATCATCTTTAGCGTGGTGGCCAATTTTGTCTTGGACAACTAAAATAAAGAAGATCGTATAGGGAGATTAAGAAGAACCGGACTCTGACCTCTTGACGAACGGCTCTAATGAGCAACTCATCAATCTCTGTACGCTGCCGCTGCAAACTATATGTAAACCTTTGTGGGTATTAAATTTAGGTCCGCAGAAAGCTTCTCCATACAAAATAAAATCCCTAAATTCTCCAGTACTAACTAAAGGAGATTCTTCTTAAATTACGTTCCATGCGTGAAAGGAGGTCCAGATCAAAACGTACAGGCAATGCTACTACCAAACGACCATCGTATATATGTATGTAGACTGCATTGCAAGTAACTGACCTAAGAAAGCAGCCATTGAACTTAAATACAACGGAAAGTCAGCAGACTAAATTTTATTTTGGAAGCGCTTAATCTTACCAAACATACCACATAGTCACTTGACCGAACTGATCAGCTCATGTGTAAATCTATTTGCTAAAAAAAGAATGTCAAAATCATTTTTCCCCAAGTTGGAATTTCTTATTTTTAACTGTCCCACTCTGCTGCCACCTTTTACCCTATGCCGTCCATCAAGTATTCCGACAAGTCCAAGCAAGCGACAGTCTTATCAGCGAAACGAGCCTATATCTTCTTTTTTTTTCTGACGTGTGACCGTTAAAGGGAATAAATATCTTTTATCTTTTATAAGTATATGTAAATTTGTTTCCATATTTATGCAAGTGTATGTGTCGTTAGAATTTATGAGCAAAGAAGCTTTTTATCTACGCCAACAACAATGCGGACGGCGCTGAGTTCTATAGTAGGACAAATAAGAGGCGGATCAACAAATTGTTCCACGCTGGCGGACTTGCCAGTGTATTAGCTAATGGCCGAAGCAACAGCAACAGTAGCAGCAGCTGCTGCGCCGCCGTGTGGAACTTGTTGATGCAGCACAGCTCAGCTTCATTCAAAAAAATAAACCAGCAGACGACAGCAGCAAGCGTAATGCTCATGGACCCACGAAACGCTTTGCTCTGCGCGCATTCATTCAGTCGAGTATTAAATGTCACTCCATTCATTATACACATACGGCGAGGACAACTTACCGCAAAAACAAAAAACCGACGGAAAACTTCGAAGCTGAAAGCATAACGCGCAGTTTGCGACTAAAACAAAAAAAAAAAAAAAAAAAAATAAATAAATAAAAGCGGAAAGTGTAAAATTTCGTGAAGATCGGACAAGCTGTGGTCATCACTAACCAATAAACAGCAGTCGCATTAGACTAGGAAGTTGAGCTGATCTCAAAAAAAACAAACTAAACAAAACATGATCAACGATTCCTTTGAGTTCTCTTGTAAATACTTAACGACTTTGTCAAATAGATCAAAGATTCCGACATTCCGACATGCCTTTGCCTGGCTGGAGTTTATCTAATAGTGTTTTATCTTTCATTTCTTTGTAGCCGACGACGATTCCGATAGTAGCCCACACGATATGGAAGGTAACGCTTCAGATTTGGAAAGCGGATTTGCCGATATGAACGGTGTAAGCCTTAGCAGCTATGGCGGTGTCACATCGGCCGCCTATTCACAAATGCAGGTGAGTTGCAGTGCATTAAAAATGAACTTAACCAAATTTATAATAACACAAAGGTCATACGAATTATGCATACATAGCAGTATACATATATGTATGCACAGCAGAGAAATATACCGAAAAAAGCTATTCCGTTCCCCTAAGATGCAGACACAGTACCTGCGAACTCCGATGGAATAAAAATTTCAACTTCAAAGTGAACGGGTTTTTGAGGCTAACAGCTTCTTACATTTACTACCTTCCGTATTTAATACAAAAACGACTTCAAAAATGATATTATTCTCAAAATAATACTTCCTTTACTGCCACACCTAAGTATTGGTGTTACACTTAGCCACAGCGAAAATTATCCAAAAAAAAAAATAAGCAAAAATCTCCAATGATCATTGCAAGCTACTTCTCCTTCAACTTTTGGTGCGATGTTTATGTTTTTTTTGTTTTTTTTTTTGAAATTGCGGTGAGCGCCGAAACAAGTTTCTTCCCCAGCTAAGCTGCACGGTTTATTGACTTTTAACCCTTGTGTGCTGGATTAACTGTAACAACCCCGCATGTTGTGAACTCAGTTCGATTTTTACATTTACATTTACATTTTTATTATATAAATTAATTCCTTACATTTTGAACTTTTTGTGGCTCTATAACGTTTTTTCAACACGCATAGGTGGCTTTCACTACATTTGTGCGATTTTGACCCCATACAATTGATAACCATCTTTCATTGCGTTCATTGCAAGTTTTCGAATTTTCCAAAAACCCTTCTGATATAGAAATTTTGTAGCTATATAGTTGCTCAATGCCGCAGATCTCTCACGTTCACGGCAACTGAAGGGCTGACGAACTCGGCATCTCTCTTCAAACATTCTACTTAATGAAAAATTCATAGAAATAGCAATGAAGGGCGGCGTATGAAACCGACCTGTCATATTGCCAAACAAAACTGTGGCCAGCCATAGAGGTTCAATGTACTAACAGCCAGTTTCACCAAATTATTTAAGTGAAAATTACTTTAATTTCGGTTTCACCAATCAATTTTATTTTGATTTAAGTGACCTATGCTCTGCACTTAAATAAAAGTTAAATCAGAATAACCACACTCAGAGGTGTTACACGTTTAATCACCTGATCATTGTGCATCTGCTGCTTACTTGTATACCAGCCCTGCTTTTACAACACAGCGTGCCAAAGCTTTCAAAAGCTCTCAGTACAAATGAAAGCGAAAGCTAGTCCTAGTCTGTTTTACAACCACTTTTTACTCACTTAAATAAATAGTTTATTGAAACTGAAAATAATTAAAATGAGATTTAAATAAAAAATTAAATTAAAGTTAATTTCCACTTAAATAGTTTGGTGAAACTGGCTGTTAGTCTTTACTTATTCTAAAGAGGCAGGACATTCGCTGTGTGATTGGAGTTATCACTGGAAATTATCTGATTAGCTCAGACGTAGCTAGACTGGACGCACCCTGGAACGAAGCTGCATAGATATACGCGAAAATTTCAAAATTAAAAGAAAAATTATTTTAGAGTCGCTGCCAAGTTTTAAAACTATTTCCCTAAAAACTCGATCAAAATTTTCGTGGATGTCTTCATTCTGTACGTAGAACAAAATAAGCTGGGTAAATATGAGATGAAAGAAAACCTCAGAAGAAATTATCTTTGTCGCTTTTGTGACGGGCCCTTAAAGTACGTGTAATCCTCGACGAAGGACGTGAATGGAGTTTAGATTCTTTGTATTTATCTGTCTGCAAAATGTCTTTAAGTAGCATTTTCCGAAGAATTTCTGCTTTGGCATGTATTTCATAAACATCTTTCTGTCTGCTTTAAAGTTAAAGAAAACGAGCCAAAAACTGTATTCAATTTAATCATTGAATTTATTATTTTTCAGATTGATTTGGATCGACAACATCTCTTAGGCAACCGGAATCAAGTTTTCGAAAGTGTTATTGCCGATGGTCTGGAAGGCTTAGAACATCAAGAGAGGTGAGTGATATTTAAGTAAATTATATATGCGATTATAAGTCTAACATTCTAAGAATTGATTGTAAATAATAAAATCTGTGTTCATAAGGAAGAGTAGCTTATGTCGAAAGACTGGCTTTAGTATAATGCGGCATTCGCAGCATACGATTCCGAATGATTCACTGGCGCCGAGCCGTTGAAGAACTTTTGGCAAATAAACGTGCAAGAAATAGTTCCGATACTAGCAAGTCAATATTCTTATTAAGTCAGATCAAAAAAATCCTTGTCGTTTAAAGGATAAAGGGAATGCCGCATTATACTAAAGCTAACTTCTCGACAGAAGATACTATATTCCATACGAACACTGATATATATTGGATATATTTATTCCACTGTTAACCAATTAACCTTCGGCTTTTAATCTCAATGTGGCAGCGCATTTATGTTGCTCATACGCCTAGTAAATCTAATTTGATTTGAATGACATTTTTGTTTTACACATATGTGGGGGTACTTACCATCCCAGCTAGCCCAGTCGGCAAAAATCGAAATCTGTATGATTTTGGCCGATATCGGTCAGAGAAGCGTATGGAGAGGTTGACAGGAAGTCTAACCGACACGACGTGGGAAATTCTGACCGACGATTCTGACGGATATCTAACAGATGTCTGACCAAATAATCATGGAAAATATCGGATAAGGAAATAAATAAAATTTTCCAGACATTTCGCCCCGAAATCTGTACGAAACCTATAAGACTTGTCTAAATAGTCAACTTTTTATTCCGACTTGTCTGATATCAGAAATTGTCTGGCAAATGTGCTAGTTGGGATGATTCATTAACTCCCTTACAAAAGCTTTGCACACACAAACGAACCCACACACAGAGCCTTGTTAAGGGAGCCGATTTTGTCGAGAGGGAGCGAGAAAACTGTTTCTGAGCAAAACTTTTATTATTGAATCATGGGTACTTACATAAGATAACAATTTTATGAACTTCTTATGTTTTACTTTTAAACAGAAATAGCAAAAACCAGTATATACATACATACATACATATGTACTTCTGTTGTCGGCAATATTTCTATTTGTTTAATGGTGTTTTCGTTTCTACCAAAGAATGTTGCCCTTTGATTGCGTCTTTTTCTTTTCTTGTTCGACTCTAAAATAATGGCAAACGGTTAGAAAATTATGTTGTTTTGAAGGTTGGCACAGCGTTCCATTAAATTTCTTTGTAGACTTCTTTGCATTGAGTTTTGTGACCACCATACTTGAATACATAAAGCTTCGTGCTACCATTCGATAAAATGAAAACATTCTTTTACAAACGTCGAGTAGCAGTCACCGTTTAATAAAACATCAGACCTTATTCTTAAAATGATTTAAGATTTACACAGGAAAATTACCGGCAAAAAAACTGTATCGACATAAGTAACAGAAGCAACGAAGACCTGCCCTCGGTACTCTGGAGAGAATACTTCTCCTCCCGATACTAATATGAAAAGAGGCTATTCCCACCCGGCAATATTCGAAAGAAGAGGCTTTTTGGGAGCCCTTGTTTTGGATCTTTTGAGCTATAGACCTTCCACACTCGACTCTTTACTCTTTTTTTATTTTGTATGGAATAGCCAGAGTTGCAAAGCCTTCTGATTCAGCTTTCCTTTCAGGGGGGAATTCACATGAAATAATACTTAAGGATACAGTTCAAATTTGAATTTGCGAAAGGTTTATGTTACCTGAAAGCATTTTCTCGACTGAAAAAATACTCATAGGAAAGCTCCAGAAATTTTGCAACTGAAGCTTTCTGGAGATTTGGTATACAGATGAATAAGAATATTTAGTAATAGTAGGAGCTCCGACAAGGGCACGACCTTCATTCATCTGTTTAACGGATGAAATCTACTTTGTATGAAATTTAACGTGTTAGGAAATATTTCGCCAGTGGGTTGGCTAAAAAAATCCTGGCCAGGATACTTTTAATTAAATATTCAAAAATTATTACTTTTTAATTTTTGCACTCATTTATTTATTGTTATTTAGACCAATCGAAAGCATAAAGCCTATATAATGTGTTAAATGGATGAGTGAAAGTTACTAGTATTACCTACCTGTAGAAAACCCAACATTTTCACATTCCATAGGCTTTATACTTTCGATCGGTATATAATTTGTTCATTAAAGGAACAAAAAAAAATAAAATAATTGTTCAATATTTGATTAAAAATATCCTTGCCAGGATTCTTTCAGCTAACCAAATAGATTTCATCCATTAAGCAGATAAGTGAAGGTCGTACCCTTGTCGACTATCAGGGCAATTCTGGCAGGCCCTAGAAGGGGAACATTATTCATCGTGTTTGTGTCTCGGCACTCACCTCAATGTTAATGGTTACACGCTTGAAAAAGTAGACGTCTTCGCTTATTTTGGAACCACCTATATCGCACATACATAATAATTTCAGTCTTGAAATTCGACGGAGTATCTCTTTAGCCAACAAGTGTGATACCATGGACGGAATAGGCAGTTGAGAAGTAAAGTCATCGTTGGTCGTACAAAAAGCACACTCTTTAAATCATGCGGAATGGCCGTATGGCGCGAAGGCATAGACAATGAAATCATCTTGGAATTTTCGAGAGAAAGATTCTGCGGAAGTTTTACGGGACTTTACGCTTTGGCGACGGCGAACACCGCAGACGATGGTGTCCATGAACTTTACAACGATATACATAGACATAGTGCAGCGAATTAAAGTACAGCGACTCGGCTAGCGTGGCCATGTTGTACGAATGGAGAAAAACGCTACAGCTCTGAAAGTATACAACGAGGATCGCGGTACTGGTAACAGAGAAACAGATGGAGAAGGATTTGTCTTCACTTGGCATTTCCAACTGGCATCAGTTGGCACAAAAAGTAAGCGACTAACATGCTGGCAGACTCGTACCGCATCTCTTAGGCAGTTGCAGGGCCAATTACAAAGAAGCTTTTCAACTCTTTAGCGTTGTGTCTTTTCTAATGGCTTATATTCTTCCTTGCTTATGCCTACCATATGTGACCGGTTAGTTGCCTTTAAGGGGAACGAAAATTCTCGCTTAAAGTATAACAACGAAAAGCACGTCATTATGCGCCAAATCTGCAGTCTAGCGGTTTTATTTTAAACGCAGTGGACATGTATAATCTTACTCATGTCTATACTACCCACCGCCCTCATGTATGAATTACTTATTAACAAGCTGTAACACGACAACTAATATTTTCACTTACAAAATACTTCAAGAAACATACAGCTTAAAGTACTATCTCCCTATTTCAAAGCGATTGCTTTTATAACCAGCAATAAATCTGCTGCCATACAACGACACCTTCATACACAATTCATACATATACATACTTAATTGCAGATGTATTAACTAAACTCGCCTTAGTTATCTTGAATTTCAAAACAACAGAATTCTTTTGCGCTTCTAACTGGCATTTCCTTAACAAAAATAAAAAAAAAATAAAATGATACTATGGCGTAACGTGCTAAATGAAAATGTAATAAAATATCACTCAGTACTTACATACATACTTAAGTACAGAGAAGTAAGCAAATTCTTTTGTAATAAATATATAGACAAGATCTTTTACGTCAGGCGCCAACTAAAATAAACACAACAAACTAAATAATTGAACAGGCCATGGCGGTAAGGAAGCCACTAACCATTACAATGAGTTACAAGTAACTATGTACAACAAGTAACGTTATTTTTGTCAAATACAGACATACGCATATGTATAAGTATTTATTTTATTCGCGTCGTCTACCTGTAAAATTAATTTTTCAGTGAGTATTACACGATACCAATTGGTTCATCAACTATTTAGTATAAAATGTTTTCATAATATGGAATCTACTAATTTAATTGGACATACCCGTATTTCCACTTTTAGCCTTGCTGTCATCGTCATTGGCTGTTCAATGTTATTTATAATAGAAAGTTCTAAAATATTAAGCACTATCAGAAGGAAATATATAGTACACAAATACTATTTATAGAGTCCTTTTGCCTTTTACTTTTCTACGAGACATTCAATTATTATGTGACTTCATTGTCGTCAACCATCTATCATCACAGTTGGATTATGCAATTCAAAGGTATTGACGTCAAAATAGGCATAGGGCAGTTTAGGCAGTGCATGGGTAACGAATGATTATTTGGTAAACAAGGCTCGCTTTGTGTGCTATGTGGCAAGCCCCCGGCAATACATGGCTCGTGGCAAACGGCGACTAAATACGTCATTGAATGCGTGTCGAAGCGATGACGTCACACACGTAAATTTTATTATCCTGCAGCACGCATATAGTTGTACAAAATTTTCATTTATGTTTGCGCTCTCGGATGCGAGTATTTATGTGTATGCTCATAAATACTTTAAATATTTACACTAGAACATACATCCATGAATGTATACTTACCCACCCCCAGGCGCTTTCTTCAATAAATGGTGATAAATCTCAATCTGTGTTTTTTTTAAGACTAGATAGGTATATTTATATATACACATTAGGATGGTCCAAAAAGCTAAAGTCAGAGTTTGAATGCTGTTTTTATTACTAAAGATTTGTTATTGCTCCCCCCGTTGCATTTTTTGGGATTTGTGGTGAAGCTATAAAATATAGTTGCTCTGGAAAAGTGGTAGGTAAATAATTAAGTACAACTATTGGGAATCTTCTCAAGAGAAGCAGAGTTTTCTGGTTGAAAAGTATTGATTTTCAAGAATTCTACACCACATCTACGAAAAGTTGTTTTTCCCCATATAAAATACATCGACAACTTTGAGCGCATTAAGCGACCTCCCAATATTTTTTTATTTCAAACAAATGTTCGATATAGAACAATCCTAGGAGGTGAGAGCACAACAATTCCGACTTTAGTTTTCCACATGCATTTTTGGACCACCCTAATGCACATGAATAGCCAACCGGCAAAATAAGCGACAAGGAGTAAGTGAGATTCTTTATCTTCGACGCGATAGCCCATCC